ATAGAAAATCTAAAAACTAAAAGAATAATGTTTTAGTGTCAAACAGTGAAATATTTTCTTTCAAAAAGCAGTTTTAGTATTGTCTGGTTTTTAAATGGCACATGAAGTCTTCTGTAAGTTACGACGCCTCGATGCTGCAAATATTTGGACAACTACTGTATGAAAGCTGAGTCAGCTGTCTGCTTTACTATTTACAGTTTCTGCTGCACGCTTAAAATAAATCTCTTCACTTCTTTGTGCAACTTTAGCTATTCATAAATCTAAACGTTACACTATTTTCAATTCAGTTCGGTTCATTTTTAGAGTACCAATTCACAACAAATGTTTCAGAGCAGATCGTGTCAAATCTCCCTTTGGTCTCAACCCCCCACCCTAAGCAAACACACAGGCAACAGTAGAAAGGAAAACTCCCTTTAAACAGGAAGAAACCTCCAGCAGAACCGGGTTCAGGGTGAGCGGCCATCTGCTTCAAGTGGATGGGGAATGAGGGAACAGGAAGCAAAACAGATAAACACTAAACAGCTGCTCCAGATGTGTCTCTGAGGAGGAAAACAAAGAAAAACAAGGTAATGATAGAAATAAATGCTAATACAAACATGAAGAGAGCGAGTAAAGACAGCAGCAGAGTGACGGGATGTGGTCTGTTTGTCCTCCAGCAGTCTAAACCTATAGCAGAACTAAAGGATAGCTCAGGAAACCAAAGCCAACCCTAACTATAGGACTGATCAAGAATAAAGGCAGAAGTAGACAGAGTCAGTCTCACAAACAGAAACTAGAGGTTGGTTTCATCGGAGGAGCCAGCTTCCTCTGACTGACCACTTTCTTTTTTACAGGAGAAATTGTATCAAGTGATCCTGATGCATGCTCAATAATGCAGGTAGAAAAATATACCAAAGTTAAGTCAGGTCCTCTGGATGGATAAAAAATATATAAATTGTTGAAACGTTTCGCCTTTTATGCAAAATACTTAATCGGTCTGAGGAGCTAAACTAAACTCAGTGAATAAATAGCACATTCTCATAGTGGATCAACCAGTTTGTTGGTGGCATCTGAAACTTGCTCATGATAAAGGAGGACCATCAGCCTAACAACTGATTGTTCATACAGAGGGCTGAGTGATACTAGCAATCACAGCATTGTAAGAGGGGGACAGTTGAACCCGGAGGCCTCCACCCCTGTTTAACGATGGACGATTTCTTTTCACAAAGATGGCCTCCTTTACTCCTCTCTCAAACCATCGTTCCTCTCTGTCCAGGATGTGAACATCTTCATCCCTGAAAGAGTGACCGCTGGCCTGGAGATGAGTGTAGACCACAGAGTCCTGGCCTGATGATGTTGATCTTCTGTGCTGGTTCATCCTTTTGGCCAGTGGCTGTTTAGTTTCCCCTATGTAAGACTGATCACCCTCCTGACACTGAACAACATACACAATATTACTCTGTTTGTGCCGGGGGACTGGATCTTTGGGATGAACCAGTCTTTGCTGTAATGTATTTTGGGGTTTAAAAGCCACTGGGACGTTATGTTTAGAAAATAAACGTCTCAGTTTCTCTGATACTCCCTCAACATACGGAATGACCACTGGTCTGGGTCTGGGTTCCTCCTTTTCACCTGATGGCTGACTGAAGTCCTGTTTGGGTTTCTTCTCTGCTTTCAGGAAGGCCCAGTTAGGATATCCACATTGCTCTAGAGCTTGTCTTGTGTGAGATTTCTCCTTCTGCCTGGCTCCTGGAACTAACTCAGGAGCCAGGCCAGTGCATGGTTAGAGCAGTCGTCCTCCAATGCAAGAGTTGGTGGTTTGATTCCACCAGCAGTCACATGCTGAAGTGTCCCTGGGAAAGACATTGAATGCTTTATTGTAGTGGTGTAGTCTACATTTTTGTAGAGGGTATACTATGCTTAGAAACTGGTTTATACAATGGAATTGTCAATTTTGATTTTTAAGTATATTGAACATTTCCAAATGTCTCTTATTCTCTGATTAAATGTACAACAAACTTTGTACAACATTGGCTTTGTATTAAAAACATGTTATAGAATTTATAAAACAGTATCAAAGCAAAATACGTTAAATTATTAAGTGGTAAGTATAGAATTATACAATAAATTTCAGGATAAGTGAATGTAATAAATGTGCTGGATGCAGATAGATTGTTACGGAAGTGTTTAACTGCTGTTTAACGTATCAATGACACGTGACTGTATGTCATGTCAAGTATCATTGGACACTTTTAAATGGGTATACTGAAATTCTTAAGCTTTTCTGGTGGGTTTACTCTGTAGACCCGCATATCACGTACAAATCGGATTCCAAAAAAGTTGGGACACTAAACAAATTGTGAATAAAAACTGAATGCAATGATGTGGAGATGGCAAATGTCAATATTTTATTTGTAATATAACATAGATGACAGATCAAAAGTTTAATCTGAGTAAATGTAACATTTTAAAGGAAAAATATGTTGATTCAAAATTTCACAGTGTCAACAAATCACAAATAAGTTGGGACAAGTAGCAATAAGTGGCTGGAAAAAGGAAATTGAGCATATAATGAACAGCTGGAAGACCAATTAACACTAATTAGGTCTATTGACAACATGATTGGGTATAAAAAGAGCTTCTCAGAGTGTCAGTGTCTCTCAGAAGCCAAGATGGTAAGAGGATCACCAATTCCACCATTGTTGCGCAGAAAGATAGTGCAACATTACCAGAATGTTGTTACCCAGCGTAAAATAGCAAAGACTTTTAAGTTATCATCATCAACCGTGCATAACATCATCAAAAGATTCAGAGAATCTGGAACAATCTCTGTGCGTAAGGGTCAAGGCCGTAAAACTCTACTGGATGCTCGTGATCTCCGGGCCCTTAAACGTCACTGCACCTCAAACAGGAATGCCACTGTCAAGGAAATAACAGAATGGGCTCAGGAATACTTCCAGAAAGCATTGTCAGTGAACACAATCCACCGTGCCATCCGCCGTTGCCAGCTGAAACTCTACAGTGCAAAGAGGAAGCCATTTCTAAGCAAGCTCCACAAGCTCAGACGTTTGCACTGAGCCAGGGGTCATTTAAAATGGAGTGTGTCAAAATGGAAGACTGTTCTGTGGTCAGATGAGTCACGATTTGAAGTTCTTTATGGAACACTGGGACACCATGTCATCCGGACCAGAGAGGACAAGGATAGCCCAAGTTGTTAACGCTCCGTTCAGAAGCCTGCATCACTGATGGTATGGGGCTGCATGAGCGCTTGTGGCATGGGCAGCTTGCATGTCTGGAAAGGCACCATTAATGCAGAGAACTATGTTCAGGTTCTAGAACAACATATGCTCCCATCTAGACGTCATCTCTTTCAGGGAAGACCCTGCATTTTTCAACACGATAATGCCAGACCACATTCTGCAGCAATCACAACATCATGGCTACGTAGGAGAAGGATCCGGGTACTGAAATGGCCAGCCTGCAGTCCAGATCTTTCATCTATAGAGAACATTTGGCGCATCATAAAGAGGAAGGTGCAACAAAGAAGGCCCAAGATGATTGAACAGTTAGAGGCCTGTATTAGACATGAATGGGAGAGCATTCCTATTTCTAAACTTGACAAACTGGTCTCCTCTGTCCCCAGACGTCTGTTGAGTGTTGTAAGAAGAAGGGGGGATGCCACACAGTGGTAAAAATGGACTTGTCCCAACTTTTTTGGGATTTGTTGACGCCATGAAATTTGGAAACAACAGATTTTTCCCTTAAAATGATACATTCTCTCAGTTTTAACTTTTGATCTGTGATTTGTGTTCTATTCTGAATAAAATATTAGATGTTGGCACCTCCACATCATTGCATTCAGTTTTTATTCACAATTTGCTTAGTGTCCCAACTTTTTTGGAATCCGGTTTGTAGACTACACCACTGCAAGTTTATTGTCTCTGATGTGATAAAGCTGATTATTCTTTGTAGAGATCTAGTAGAGTGCTGTATGAATGGGTAAATGAGGCACAGATTGTTGTAAAAAGCTTTGAGTGTCTTAAGATAGAAAGGAGTTATATAAATACAGTCCATTTACTTTAAGAAAACTTTTTATTACTTTTAGCTTTTAGCAGTTGTTTAGCTACTTCTAAATTTTAGCTGACATCTCGCTTCTTTTAGCTACCATTGTGCTTATTTTAGGTTTTAGCTAGTCTTTTGCTAATTATAGTTTCAGGTATTTTTTTCCTACTTCTTTTAGCTACTGCTTTTTTTTTTAGCTTCAGTTTTAGCCGAACTCAGTTTCAGCGCATTGTGGCAGCCATGAGCTACATTTCACAGAAAATGTGAATCCTCGTGTTAATGTTCGAGTCTCAGACTGACGGTCCAACAAGGTGGTTTACATCTTTTTAAAGCGATTCAATTCCCATGTAATTCAATTACTCACCACTAACTCGTTTAAGCAGTTTAGTTTTAAAAAATGTAACTAAATTTGTTCTAACGCTGACAGGTGTCTGGTCATGGGGCCGGTCATCTTTCTGATCATGAGGGAGCCAGTTTTCCAAATGTTCATCAACAGTTTGCTGCTCCCACACATCCAAGGAGTTACGTTTATCTTCCAAGGACATTTTACAACCTGTTGACTTTCCATCGTCATCAACTCTCCAGTTTTATAAATATGCTTGAATATCAGCAGCGGTTGACGCCACTTCCTGCTTCATAACTATTAATTTAGGCCAAATGTAATTTTTACTAAATCACATTTGTGTTGAAGTTAAAAGGTGTGCATGAGGCTAATCTGGATTGTAGATATATAATTAGTATTTTACTTCAGTGGGACAAAGCTTACATTTTAACTATCTGGCAGGAGTTGGAACTGTCCTCATGTTTGAACTATGACATCATGTGGTCATTCATGGAAAGACAGCCACAAATCTTTAATAAGTTGTATTTCCTGATTATTAATGGTGCAAGAATAAACAGACAAAAACCTGTGAACGAGCTTCAACTTCTGAAAGTCTGCGAGTACGCACACTTCTCATCTTTAATATTGAAATATCAGCAAAATGAATTACAAGCACAGCTACAGTATAACTCCCGGATAAATCCATGTGAGGAAAAATAAAAATACAATTATTTTTAAATTTAAAAAAAATGTACAGAAATTACAAGAAATAATCGACTGATTTTAAAAAGCAACGTGTGAAAGTGGATCAAACAAGTCAAGAATCCTAATAAGAACATAATGCACTTGGCTTGAGTTGGTATTTACATATTTATACACGCCTGATCTTCGGGAACGCTTCGATGACGCTGCAGAGAACCGGAGCCGGGGTTCGGGTGCGTCGTAGTTTGGCGACATGAAGCGAACAGAAAGACGCGGTCGCTGCTCCCTCCTCTGCGTCGTCACACGGCTGACCTCTGATTTGATCAAGCCTGTCATGTTCTCCCTCTGCTGAGCTGAACCCAAACATTTTGTTATCCGTACCAACTCGCATTGCATAAAGGCTGACATTATTCAAACCAAACGACCAAAAGCTAAAGTCAGCCCAGGGTTTGACTTCCTGTCTGATTTATACAGCTGTGTGCGATCAGCGATGGCTTCAGTCAAGAGTCTGAAATATGGAGATTAGTTGTTGCATAGTGTCAGTGTGGTTTGTGTTTCTTCTTCTTGTGTTTTTTGTCCTTCTTCTTGCCGGAACATTTCACGCAGAACCACTGCTGGTCCTCAGGAGGCGGAGTCAGAATTCCAACACAAGGCCTGTGCAGACAGAGGGTTGTGTTAGTGTAAACACGGTAAACAAATGAAAAAAACGGGTTTTCTCCTCTTTTTAACACATCTGTACGGCAACTTCTAGCTCCAGAAGGTGAATCGGGGATAATGTCTTTGCCTGTAGGTCCACACGTGTCTTTGTTTTTCAAGTTTGATAAATCCCTCATGAACCAGTGGGCAGATTAATCGTTGGATGTACGGTAGTTTTCACTGTATAAGTCGCAGCTTTTTGCATAAATTAGCAAGCTCTGCGACTAGGCCTGTCGCGATAAACAATAAATCAATTAATCGTATGATAAATGAAAATTATCAACCTCATTTTCATTTATCAGCTTTATTGTTTCTTTGTGTCTCTCTTTCTACTGAAGACACTGGATGACAAAAAGGCTCAACTCCTTGTTCTTCACTGACCCGTCCCTTTCTCTTTTATCTTTAAAATCTGTTTTAACGATCCAAAATCGTGTTTTTGGATCATTAAAAGCAGCTAAACTGAGAAGCTAAGCTACGAGCTAAGCTAACGGGCTGACCTCGGGGAAAAAACCTCCGTCTTGTCGAAGCTCCATAATTCACGGTTGAAACCCGTGCCTTCGTGTAAAAAGTTGTTTTTCTCTGCAAAAAGAAGCTGAGAACTTGTTTACTGATTTTTATTAAAAGCTTTGTGTGAAAAATGCCAAGGGGCTCAAATCACAGAGCATTTGCCATGTCAGGTCAAGGGCCCTCCCTCCCATTTTTCTTGAAGAGACACGCTACTCAACTATCCGGCCTTTGGTAAAAAAGGTACTGCACACCAAACAAATTTGGTAAATTGTAAACAATATCATTGTTTATCGCAATAACTTCTGAGACAATTAATCGCCCAGCAAAATTTGTTATCGTAACAGGCCTATCTGCGACTTACACAGCAAAGCAGCTTATTTATGTTTTTTCCCATATTTATAACCCAATTTATGGCTGAGATCTGACGATTTCATTCATTGACATGGAAAATATTGAACATTACCATTTTCAGCAGCTGGAGGGCCCTTGACTCATATGGCAAGTGAAGTGTCTCATTAATAGGTAAAAGTGCCTATTAATGAGACACTGGGCTTGCCATACCAAGCCACCTTCATCTCGCTCAGGAACTCCTGGAGCAAACGTCAAATCAGCTGCATTTCGCCACGACGCCCAGTCGAAATGCAGCTGATTTTACCATTAAAGTGCATTTATTAAGTAAAAGTTCAACTGAGACACACCTTTACTATAATGTCGAGCAAACAAATAATTGTTTTTAGGTGATTATCTTGGTAAATTTCAAAGAAATGCACAGCTAGTTCTCCCATGCACGCTCCTACGGCTGCAAATTGGCTTTTGAAATGCAGCTCATTTGACCCTTTTATTAAGGAAAAGTTAAAATGAGAAACACCTTTACTATAATTTCGAGCAAACAAATAATTGTTTTTAAGTGTTAATCTTGTTAAATTCTTGTTAAAGTCCTCCCGTGCATGCTCCCGATGCTGCCATTTGGCAGCCTATCGATTTTTGGCACAACACCAGCTCACGTTTCTGGTTGGTCAGCGGTGACGTGTAACAAACACGACGCATCTGCTGTGATGCATAATAGACGTGACTTATTTATTTTTTCCCACTTTATTAGACATATTTGGACTGATGCGACTTATACGGTGGTGCGACGTGTACAGCAGCAAGTACGGTAGATCTACAACTGATTAATATTTGGAGTCAACCAATTCAAGATGGCTGCCACAACTAAGCAAACTCAAATGTGGCTACAACTCAGTCAGTTTTACAGATATTGGACTAAAATGTGATGCAGCTGAGAGTCATCCCAACTTAAACACTTGTTGCTAACAGCGCTAACCATAAGATCACACAACGTCATATTGATCAAAACTGCTACAATCCCATCCCTTTTCTTTAAAAGATAATCTCAGATTAAAGCTCTGGCATATAAGCAGCAGTGATATGCATTCCTTTAAGGAACCCCAGGCTTTAAATTGTTAATAAAATGCACACAGCAAACTAGGGATGCACTGATCCACTTTTTTTTTTTTTTACTTCCGATCCGATCCCTAAATCTAAATATCAGCCGATACCGATCCAGTTCCGATATCATGATCATCATAGATTTTACACGAGGCTGTAATAATCTCCTCTCAAGTACAATTTGTACAAATATATGCATGCATGTCCAAAAAGGCAACTTGAGGTAAGTTTTATTAATGTTAGATAAATTTTAAAGTTAGAATTAAATTCTGCTAACACAAAACTTTTATTTTTTATTCCTAGCTTTAAAGTGGATATTAAAGTGATTAATTTTAAGTGATTGTTTAAAGTTATTTTACTTTTTTATTTTAAATAAGATAATAATAATAATAATAATAATAAGATATATAAGATTTTTCTTCTTTCTGCACTCTTCATTCAGTGTTTTCTTTTTGATGAATTTGTTTTGTTTCTTTTAAATGAATGAATAAATGAATTAAATTAAATGTTAAATGGCTTCAAACATCTGCTAAGTTCATGGCATAAAATAACAGACATGTTCCTGTTTTTAGTATTTTACATCACTTTATAATGTAAC